AGTGCAGCGTGGAGACAACGTCGCGCCCTCGTGGGCGACCCCCTCGGCCCAGGTTGAGTCGCTGGCAGAGCCGCGGAGCTTTGATCAAATCCGTTTTTTTTTTTTTTTTTTTGTGTTCGCCTGCCTGCCGGCAAACGCCCAGCAATTCGACGTGCTGGCGCCGCGTCGAGGAAAAGGAGGAGGAGGAGCAGGAGGAGGAGGAGGAGGAGGAAGAGGAGGAGGAGGAGGAGGACGAGGAGGACCAGTGTAAACCCACGAGCCATCAACATGTTGGAATACACCCTGCTTCCGAGCTTCCTCTTCAGCGGTTCCTTTCCATTGGGGGAGCTGCCTCGTTGGAAGGCAACCGTGTGAAGACCCTGAAGCATACCGAAACATTGTTCTCGGGAGTCCAACGCCACGGATCAACATGATTGTTGCGACTTGACGAACGTGGATCGTGCCAGGACGCCATTCTTGGGATTGCAACATTGCCCCTGCAAAATCTTGAGCCCTTCCCAGGCGCCGTTTCTGCTACTTTGATCGTTTTGATCCGTGAATTCTTCCACGTTTTATAAACGAATGTACGCGGCGCTATGGCGAAAACCACATTTTGAAAAGGGGCCGCCCTCAATCCGTGTAGCCCCTGCACGTTATTCGAATGAATTTGCGCGGCGCCCAGGCGAGAGCCATCTTTTGAAGCTGGTTGTCCTCAATGTGCGAAGCTCTTGCACATTTTCAGAACGAGTGTGCGCGGCGCTAAGGTGAGAGTCTTATTTAGAAAACGGGTTATCCTCAGTCCGTGAAGCTCTGGCACCCGCCCTCAATGTGTGAAGGTGTTGTCAATTTTTAAGCGTGCGCGTCATAAATGGTGAGGAAGTCTCATGCGAAACGCCCGGCCCGCCCTAAACATTGGCCTTGGGGCGCGACAGGAATGAGTTCTTTATAAGGCAAAAACATGGAGGAGGAAGGGTCGGCGGAGGAGGAGGAAGAGGAGGAGGAGGAAAACGAGGATGAGGAGGAGGGAAAGGAGGAGGCGGATGAGGAGGAGGAGGAGGACCAGTGTAAACTGGAGGGTCATCAGCGATGTTGGAATAAATCCTCCCTTCCAAGCTCCTTCTTTCCAGGCCCTTACAATTGTTCATATTCATAGAAGGAAGTGCCTCATTGGACGACAACCGTTTGAAGATCCTGAAGCATGCCACAACATCGTTCTCGGGATTCCAACGCCACGGATCATCCTGAATGTTGCGTGTCGACGATCCGGAATCGTGCCAAAACGCCGTTCTTGGGATTTTACGCCGTGAATCAACGTAACCGCTGACCCGCATAATCTTGATTCCTTCGAAGACACCGTTTCTGGACGTTGATCATGTGAACTTGTAGGATTGTTCCAACCTTCATAAGCGAAGATGCGCGGCGCTCAGGCGAAAAACACATTTTGAAAAAGGAACCGCCTTCAATCTGTGAAACTGTTGCAAAATTCAGAGCGAATGTGCGCGGCGCTAGGGCGAGGGCCACATTTTGAAAACGGGCCGCCCTCAATCCGTGAAGCGCTTTCATTTCTTACAATGAGTGTGCGCGGCGCTAAGGCGAAAGCCTCATTTTGAAGTCGGGTCGCCTTCAATCAGTGAATCTTTTGCATTAGTTAAAACAAATTTGCGCAGCGCTACGGCGAGAACCACATTTTGAAAACGACCCGCCCCATGTGTGAAACCGTTGCAATCTGTTGAAACGAATGTGCGTGGCGCTACGGCGAGAGCCACATTTTGAAAACGGGTCGCCCTCCAATGTGTGAAGCCGTTGCTAATTTTGGAGCTTCCGGGTCATCAGATGAGGAATTCTCAGGCGAAGCGCCAGGCCAGCCCTAAAATTTGGCCAGTGGTGGCGACAGGCAAAAGTTCTGTATAAGGAGAAGGAATCGAGGGGGAGGAGGAGGAGGAGGATGAGGAAACCCGCCGCAATCCGAGGATTCAGGTTTGGCCAACGGTAAAAAAGGAGGAGGAGGCGGAGGAGGAGGAGGAGGAAGAGGAAGAGGAAAAGATGATGAGGATGATGATGATGAGGAGGAGGAGGAGGAGGCGGAGGCGGAGGCGGAGGCGGAGGCGGATGATGATGCTGATGATGTCGATGATGCTGATGATGATGATGATGATGATGATGATGATGATGATGATGACCATGATGATGGTGATGATGCTGATGATGATGCCGATGATGTTGTTGATGATGATGGTGGTGATAATGATGATGATGATGATGATGATGGTGCTGATGGTGCTGCTGCTGATGATGATTATGATGATGATGCTGATGATGATGATCATGATGCTCATGATGATTCTGATGATGATGATGAGGATGCTGATGCAGCTGCTGATGATGATGATATTGATGCTGTTGCTGTTGATGATGATGATGATTATGATGATGATGATGATGATGATGATGATGATGATGATGATGATGATGATAATAATGATGATGATGATGATGAAGATGATGATGATGATGATGATGA